CTGATACCACCAGATCCCTGCTATCCTGGAGCGTTTCATCAGCCATGGGGGAGAAAGATCTTAATTTCAATATAAGGAATGTTCATTTATCTATCAAGAATCATGTCCTTGCCACAGATCGTCCACAGGTATAACCAATACTGTTTCTGTCCAAAGCAGAACTTGGGCTTCTTTGTTGTCCCCTTTCCAGACCCCCACAACCTTCAGGCACTAGAAAGGCCAGCAGTTCCAGTTGGATCACCAGGAGTGTTGATGTAAAGCTGATTATCAACATATTGATGTTGGTGTTAAAAAGGAGTAGAAGGAGATCCCGAGCCCTTTGGCATGCCTCAATGGAGAAGCTGTGGACTGAACTACTCATTCCTATTAACACTCATTAGGACCGGCCTTGGAGAAAGGAGTCGAACCCACGCGCAAGAACATGTCAAACTTCAAATTCAGCAGATGGCCCAAAAGGAAACAATGGCTGATCGTTTTAAAGCCACTGAAAGTCAAGGAGATCAAGGATGATGCCCATCATTATCCTGTCCTTGACATAGATCATCACAAGGGCAATCAATAGTACTATCCTGGAGCGTTTCATCAGTCATGGTGGCAGTGATGTTAATTTCAATATAAGGAATGTTCATTCAGGAAAGGGGAAAACTGCCATACAACACGAAGTTCTGCAATGGTCTCATGATTGCAGCCAGTCAGCAAGCAAGAGAAATTGGGAATCAGGCACCAATTGGTCTGTCCTTGCCATAGATTTCCACAAGTGAAACCAATACTACTTCTGTCCTATAGCTGGACCTGCAACCTCTTGCAGAATAAAGTCCGGAGCCGGAAGCTCATGCATCTTTCTTTGGGCTTCTTTCCAGTCAAAGTTGTTGTCCCCTTTCCAGACCCCCCCCCCAACCTCCAGGCACTAAGGAGGCCAGCAGTAGGACCAGAGTGTTGATGTAAAGTGATTATCAACATTGATGTTGGTGTTAAAAAGGAGTAGAAGAGATCCGAGCCCTTTGGCATGCCTCAATGGAGAAGCTGTGACTGAACTACTCATTCCCTATTAAACTATTAGGACGGCCTTGAGAAAGGAGTCGACCCACGCATGAACATGTCAAACTTCAAATTCAGCAGATGGCCAAAAGGAAACAATGGCTGATCGTTTTAAAGCCACTGAAAGTCAAGGAGATCAAGGATGATGCCCATCATTATCCTGTCCTTGACATAGATTCCACAGGGCAATCAATAGTACTATCCTGGAGCGTTTCATCAGTCATGGTGGACAGTGATGTTAATTTCAATATAAGGAATGTTCATTCAGGAAAGGGGAAAACTGCCATACAACACGAAGTTCTGCAATGGTTCTCATGATTGCAGCCAGTCAGCAAGCAAGAGAAAATGGGAATCAGGCACCAAATTGGTCTGTCCTTGCCATAGATCATCCACAAGTGCAACCAATACTACTTCTGTCCTATAGCTGGACCTGCAACCTCTTGCAGAACTAAAGTCCGGAGCCGGAAGCTCCATGCATCTTTCTTTGGGCTTCTTTCCAGTCAAAGTTTGTTGTCCCCTTTCCAGACCCCCCCCCAACCTCCAGGCACTAAGGAGGCCAGCAGTACCCGTTGGATTACCAGGAGTGTTGATGTAAAGCTAATTATCAGCATATTGATGTAGGTGTTAAAAAGGAGTAGAAGAGGACCCCGAGCCCTTTGGCATGCCTCAATGGAGAAGCTGTGGACTGAACCTCTCATTCCCTATTAACACTCATTGTAGCGGCCTTGGAGAAATGAATAGAATCCACACAAGACCATGCGGCCCAGCACAAATTCAACAGATGGCCCAAAACAACACCATGGTTAATGGTACTGAAAACCACTGAAAAGTCGAGGAGATCAAGAATGATGCCCATCATCATCCTGTCCTTGCCATAGATCATCCACAAGGGCAACCAATACTACTTCTGTCCCAGAAATATGCCTGGAATACTGGTTGCACAACTGCAAATACTGCAGCCGACCCAAAATAACAACATAGTTAATGGTATTGAAAGCCACTGAAAAGTCAAGGAGATCAAGGATGGATGCACATCGTCATCGTATCCTTGCCATAGATTGTCCACAAATGCAATCAATGCTACTACACTCCGATAGCTGGACTTGAAACCTGACTGGGAGGAATCTATTCCATCCAGATTCCTCTATAGGTCACAAAATTCTACCTTCTACACCAATGTCCGCACAAAGGGAAGATGCGAGACCGAAGGATTGAAATATATTTTTAAGGGGTGGTAATCTGAGGCTTTCTTACAAAATCCCAGAAATGCCCCATCTTCACTGTCTGATCCCACCAGATCCCTGCTATCCTGGAGCGTTTCATCAGCCATGGGGGAGAAAGATCTTAATTTCAATATAAGGAATGTTCATTTATCTATCAAGAATCATGTCCTTGCCACAGATCGTCCACAGGTATAACCAATACTGTTTCTGTCCAAAGCAGAACTTGGGCTTCTTTGTTGTCCCCTTTCCAGACCCCCACAAACCTTCAGGCACTAGAAAGGCCAGCAGTTCCAGTTGGATCACCAGGAGTGTTGATGTAAAGCTGATTATCAACATATTGATGTTGGTGTTAAAAAGGAGTAGAAGGAGATCCCGAGTCCTTTGGCATGCCTCAATGGAGAAGCTGTGGACTGAACCACTCATTCCCTATTAACACTCATTAGGACCGGCCTTGGAGAAAGGAGTCGAACCCACGCAAGAACATGCCAAACTTCAAATTCAGCAGATGGCCCAAAAGGAAACAATGGCTGATCGTTTTAAAGCCACTGAAAGTCAAGGAGATCAAGGATGATGCCCATCGTTATCCTGTCCTTGACATAGATCATCCACAAGGGCAATCAATAGTACTATCCTGGAGGGTTTCATCAGCCATGGTGGACAGTGATGTTAATTTCAATATAAGGAATGTTCATTCAGGAAAGGGGAAAACTGCCATACAACACGAAGTTGTGCAATGGTTCTCATGATTGCAGCCGGTCAGCAAGCAAGAGGAATTGGGAATCAGGCACCAAATTGGTCTGTCCTTGCCATAGATCATCCACAAGTGCAACCAATGCTACTTCTGTCCTATAGCTGGACCTGCAACCTCTTGCAGAACTAAAGGTGTTAAAGTCCCGGAGCCGGAAGCTCCATGCATCTTTCTTTGGGCTTCTTTCCAGTCAAAGTTTGTTGTCCCATTTCCAGGCCCCCAAAACCTCCAGGCACTAAGGAGGCCAGCAGTACTCGTTGGATCACCAGGAGTGTTGATGTAAAGCTGATTATCAGCATATTGATGTAGGTGTTAAAAAAGGAGTAGAAGAGGACCCCGAGCCTTTTGGCATGCCTCAATGGAGGAAGCTGTGGACTGAACCTCTCATTCCCTATTAACACTCATTAGTAGTGGCCTTGGAGAAATGAATAGAATCCACGCAAGACCATGCGGCCCAGCACAAATTCAACAGATGGCCCAAAAGGAAACCATGGCTGATGGTTTCAAAAGCCACTGAGAAGTCAAAGACATCAAGGATGATGCCCATCGTTATCCTGTCCTTGACATAGATCATCCACAAGGGCAATCAATACTACTTCTGTCCCAGAAATCTGACTGGAATTCTGGGTGGCGGAGCTGCAAATACTGCAGCCGATCCAAAATAACACCATGGTTAATGGTATTGAAAGCTACTGAAAAGTCAAGGAGATCAAGGATGGCTGCGCAGCATCATCCTGTCCTTGTCATAGATCATCCACAAGTGCAACCAATGTTAAAGATGTTAAAAGTCCTGGAGCTGGAATCTCTATGGACCAAAGCCACTTCGTTTTACCAGAGTTCAGCTGATGTTTGTGCCCTATCAAGATCCCCACAACCTCCAGGCATTCTCGGTGGCCGGCAGTACCACTTGGATCACTTTATATTAAGTGGTGTTGATATAAAGCAGATTATTATCAGCATATTGATGGTACCTCATTCCATCATGAAGCCACTAAGAAGTTGAGGAGAGTAAGGAGCCCTATCCCCATCCTCTCCTTGCCATTGATCATCTAGAAGTTTGAGCTGCTTGTCTTCCATAACTGGGCCTGAAACCTGACTTGAAGGAATCAGTTTCATCCAGAATCCTCTAAAGTTTTTAAATATTCCGCCTTCTATATCATCTTCTCTAAAAGGGAAGGTGGAAGACGGGACAGATGCATTCCAGAGATGTGGACTGAGAGATTTTTTTAAAAGAAGGGAATAAACCAAGTTGTGAGCCATACTGAGGAAGTTATAAGTGATGGTGGTTTGAACAGACTTGTCCAGTTTTGATTTACTCTTAACCTTTAAGATGAAAAAGAATATTGATAGTCTGATAATGATATGTGACATAGCTTCAGGTATTTTTCTGAGCCAATAATGTCTCTTTTTAATTGAGTTCATACATCCAAGACGTGACTTCTTTTAATTAGCACGTTGACTGGCTATACATAAATCAGTCAAATTCCAGAAAGCTACATTATTATTTAATTGGATGTGTGAACCTAGTCTTGAACTTACTTAAAGTTGTAAACTTAAAGGTATGACTAAAGTTTACAAGTGCAATTGTGGGTATCTAAAGGGAGCAGCATTCTTCAGACTAGCAGATGTGCTGGATCAATTCCAGTAATTGGTAGACAGAGGCTGTTCCTGTTTTAGGGCCAAGAATGAGATTAAGAAAATTCTACCATTTTTTCCTTTAAACCCCTCCAAAAGACACTGACATCCAGAGACTGAATGTCTCCAGTTGCAGAAGTAAACTGCTCTACAGTTTTCGAGGATATTTATTATTGGACAAGAATAGTGGCTTCTAACACAAAGTTCTTCCACTATGAATATCAAAATTCAAACTATCATTCTTCAGTATTAGAAAAGATGGGACATCTTGAGAAGATTTCAACATGTGTTTAATGGAAATGCAAACTTTAATATCCCATTTTAAAGCAATTATTTAAAAATAATGGTAGACTTACTGTAAGGATGCCATGCCATAAACCCACATCTTTTTTGAAATCCAGAACATTCACAATAGTTTCAGCTTCATGACATAAAACAAAAACAAAAACAAAACAATGTTAGTTCCTGGATACCAGGTACAGCCAATCAAAAGCTCCATCTTAAAATGTAATTGATTCATTTTTTTTAAAAAAAAGGAAATAAGTGTAAGACAATTTGAAGTAAATCAATTCTGACTCATTGCTTTTTACCTATCTGATCCTTCATTTCTCTTTCCTTCATTGACATTTGCTTAATATGTCACAGTGACTTATTCTCCTGAAAATAGGTGGGAAATGTTGAAAGTGAGAGCAGGAAATAATTTCCAAAAATAATGACTGTTCCACCTATAGAGATTTCCTCAAGACATGTAGAACTTGAGAAGTTCATATTAATTAGAGATGAAAATTACAACTCTGAAGTTGTTCTTCATCTTGGATGACAGTCTGAAGTTTGGAAAAATCTCATCCCACAGCTTTCTATCTTGTATAAACTTTTGGAGGTCCTGATCTCAGCTGAATATTTGAATCCAGCTCCTCTTTTTATTAATCCTGGTTGAGTTTTGCAGCATGACGGGTGTATCCAGCCTGAATGGGCCTACTAATTGCACAAAAAGGGACTAACTGTATCATACTTACTTATATCCTATTTCATTTTCTGGATTGATGCCATGGGAAGAATGGATTTTCTTTCTAAGGAATGACGTAGGATTTTAAACTATTTTAGATCTTGCACTACAATTTCTCTGTTGTTCTCACTTGCAGCAAGAGGATGCTTCAAATACTGCAAAAAAGGGCAGTTGTTTCTGAAGAAATTACTGAACAAATACAGTTTTGTTCTGGGAAGATTCAAAAATTAGTTTGGCTAACTAATAATCTGTGTTGTTTTCCAATTTTGGGGGAAAATAGCCTAGCTCCTAGCTATTAATTAATTGTCTCCGCCCAATTATTTAAAACAAAAGCCAGTAAAATCTATCATGCTAAATCATTTTCTGAAGCTAGTTTATTTGTTTTTTTAAAAAAGTGTTGAAATACCTTCCGTGTATCCACAAGCCTGGGTGAGCGCTTGACAATGGGTCAGTAGTGCAATCCTTGTCACCGTCACGCCAAGAACACTTCCATCCTTACAGGTTTTGTACTGCAGTAACACAATTTTGCTCATCAGTATCAGGGAATAACAACATTGTTGTTAGTTTAATAAGCTGGGGGAGACAGACACCTGTCTATGCCAGGTGCTCCATCAAGTCTTCCAACCCCCAAATACAAGAAGTCCTTGAATTATGACCATAAGGGAGCCTGTAGTTTTGTGATGGTTGTAAATTGTGCGCCATAAAAAAAATATATCTTGCTGTGTATCTCAGAAGTGTACTGATATCTGCCATTCAGTATTAGGTCATTAACCAAAGCTGTGCTTTATTCAATAACCAAGTTCCCATTCTTACACAGCCAGTTCCCTGTTTCTATCCATTTATATTAGCCCGCTAATTATCTATACATTCTTATCTTCCATTATCCTAGCTCCCTAAAGATCCAGACTAAGCAGTTTGGGGGGGGAGGGAAGACCCCACTCTCATATCGATACTTAGTTTGCCTTAATAGTTGAACAATCTTATTGACGCCCCCTGATCTCTACAGAAATCCAAATTAAAGTATCTCCATTAGAAAGCTGCCTAGTTTTTGCTTGAACTCATCCAGTGAAAGGCAGCTTATTTCTTTCCCAGGAAACACTTTCATTATCAAAGCTTATTACCATTAATAAGCTTTTCCTAACCAGTTCCAGATTCTGCATTATAACCAACAGTGAGCTATTTAGAGCCTACTATTGTGTGACACCCCTTTAAATGTTTCAGAAGTCCTTTCCTCTGAATTCTCTTGCAGCCTCTATCTCTCAAGTGAAATCTTCTCTGCTGCCTATCTTTGAGCCTATTTTGATTTTCTTCAAATTGGCTATCACTCTTAAAATGGAGTCTGACCAGCACAGAAACTAAACCTGAATTATGGCCCTTCATGACTGCAAATGACTCTGAAAGATGCAATCTAAAATTGCATTTGCCTTTTTTTGCTCTAACCTCACAATTAAACATAGGCACTATAGTGTTGAAGCTTTTCAGATTCAAAAGGAGAAAAGGGGGCTTGGAAGCACATGGGGCCCTTGGCTTTTAGTGGCCAACCCCTACAAGCACCATGAATGCTATTGCAAGCTTAATATAGAATTTGATACGCATTTATTTTTTTGTTCCTCTGCTTAAACCTTTGAAATAGAGGTGAACTAGAAGTCCATGTAAGCTAACAACGTATTTTGGAAGCAAATGTCTTTCTTTTGTTTCTGTGGAATAGTAAACCACCAATATGTGCTAAAAGTAATGTTGAATAATATAGTTCCCCTGGCTTCTAAAAAGAACATCTGTCAAACTGTCTAATGATAAAACGTAGTTCCCATGTCTCTATACACATTGGTATCCATCCCTTCCTTGTAAAAGTCTGCTGAGTGCTACTATTTCTGCTCCTGTATCCGTTATCCTGATATTTAATTCATGAAAAATATTATGAAGTATTCAGTTTCCTTCCTTGTTTATTTAAAGCATTTCTATTGCATCTATCTTTTACAAAGTTTTGCACATAGTATTGTACTCTGGAACTTTTCAAATTAGCTTTTTGTCAGCCTTGGAAGCCATATTAAGCCGGAAGCTTCAATGCTGCCATCTCCTCATGTGTGGGAAAATAGGAGGGGGGATTTAGGAGAGGGGAGTTAGTAGACATAATAACAGTTTTTCCTATCGGTCAAGGTCAGGGCGGTCCAGCATCTGGAGGAGGAGTGGGGTTAGGATGGGGGGTTAGTGGAGTGCAGCCCCCCCCGGTCAGGAGCGAATTGGAAAGATCGACGCCCCATGGCCAGCCTGCAACAGTGGGATTCCAAAACCCTCCTTTTTGGGCCCCACGCCAGCCTGCATTAGCATTACCTCCTGCGGAGAGCAATCTACCCGGTTGGGCTTTTTATCCAGGCCAGGAATGGATCCAGGGCCAGTGGTATCCTGCACCGCCTGTCCTAAACTCCCAGGGATCCCCCCTGGCCACCGTCCTATGCCTCAACGGTCCTGCCACCACAGGGGGGCCCAATCCAGCAGCCGACTGCAATGGCCCCCCCTCCAGCACAGCAAGCGGCTCAACAGCCAGCCCCCCTCCCCCAACAACCAACGCCGTTGCCTGCCCCCTCTCCAGCCCAGCTACCTTCACACCAACCTATTGGAATGCAACAACCAGGAGCACCACAGGGGGGACTAATCCAACAGCCGGCTGCAATGCCGCTCCCTCCAGAGCAACAAGCAGCTCAACAGCCAGCCCCCCCCCCCCCCCCCCCCCCCCCCCCCCCCCCCCCCCCCCCCCCCTTCAGAGCAACTTTTGACAGAATGCCAGCCAAGCTAGCTTACTTCCTCAGCAGGGTCTGGGCTCACGTTGATCAGTATGGTGACCAATACGAAGCAGAACGGGACTTGGTGTCAGCAATCTCAGATGAGATGAATGATGGGGAGGCATCTGAATGGATAGCCCAGCTGCATGATGAGGGCGCTGTTGAACTTTGATATTGAAGGCTTTATCACACTGCTACGGTCCCACTTTGACGACCCAGACCGCATAAACGAAAACGAAGCCATGCTAAAACTCATGAAGCAAGCTAATCGACCAATGAAAGACTTTGTATGGGACTTTAGGAGAGTCGCAGGCACTCTGAGCCATTTGCCTGATTGCATACTCCTGTACTACTTCTGACCCAGAAGTCAGAAAAGCCTGTGGGATCCGGGGTGTACCTGAGTGTCTCCACAACTATTTATACCATGTCCATTGCTCTGGACAGAGAAGTACACCCCCCAGCCAAACACCATCTCAGCAGCCACCTCGTAAGCCGTTAGAAAAAAAACCAATTTCAAAACCTGCATACCGCACTCCTCCTCCACAAGGGAGGTGATTAAATGCTATCGCTGTGGACAGACAGGACATCGAGCTTCTAAGTGCTTGGCCCCTGCCCCAGTTCCATAACAATGACCTGCCACAGCTGCACGAGGGAGGAGGGCTCCAAAGAAAACCCCAGAGACCAGCCGATTGCCAAATAAGCCGTGGAGATTCCCCTTCCCACTGAAGAGAGGGGCCACCCTCCGGCCACAGGAGCACCGAGCCCAGCGGGGTTGAAGACCCGATAGCAAGTGTCCCCATCACCCCTTTCTCAATTAAAGTAAAACTAGTCCTGCCAAAAACAGGGAAAGAAACAGAACTCCCAGCAGTAGTAGACACAGGCTGTACCAGGTGTCTGCATCTGGAGGAGGGGTGGTCAAGGGCTGGGCCGAGGCAAAACCGACGATGATTGGAGCATGTGACTGAAAGGGGAGAAAGGGGTTGGTTTTGGGAGCTTTGTATTAGTGAAGGAAAGCCCGGGTTTTTCAGATTCGGGATTTCCCAGATGTGCCAGTTTACCTATTGCTAGTAAAGAGAACTTTGGAAAATGCTTCCGTGTCTTTACTGGGAGTCGGGGGTTTTCTGGAACGCTGACACTTTTATTGAGAAGTTTCCACTGCTGCTTTTAGAAAACTTCTGATTCAATAGACTTTGATTTAGTGGACTTCAGATACAGCAGACAAAATCTGTCCAAATTGTATGCCCCTAGGCATGTTTAATTCTATTTGTGATTTTACACCTGTAGTTCAGGGATGGGTTCTACTTACCTTTACTACCGATTTGCAATGGGATTGCGCGAACGCGCAAGCGAAGCTTCCGTCTTCTCATGACGTCAGGGTCAATGGGCAGAGCCCCCCGCCGGTTTTATAGAACCGGTCTGAACCAGGGGCAACCCACCACTGCTGTTGTTGTGTAAAATCCCATTGGTGTCTACAAGCCATTCTTCTTTAAGGGATACCCCTTCTCATTAGTTCTTAAAGCAAAGACTTATTATATCATTTATAAACATAACAAGTTCAAACATGTAGCCACTAAAATGGCTATCCATGTTGCTGTTCAAAGATTGAGGGGGAAAAATATCTTATACAAATTTTGCTGAATTGAAATATCAAGTTTTTTAAAATTCCCCTAACAATATTATACAAGTGCAGTTTGCTATAGTTGCATAGGACTGGAACTGTTTCATATACTCTATGCCTTACTATTTAATGAGTACATTGCAATATATTTACTTAGAATATTTAATCCACTATTAATCTGGACCCAGAGTAATAGATGGAAATGATCCACATGTGAATATGAATGAACAAATATATTATGTACACACCACTTACCTCAATGTAAGCGGTGTCATTGTTTGCATCTTTGATGTGGGGGAACCAATCTCGAGGAGGTTTTGAAAGATGTTTTGATTCTGTCACAAACCACAGCAGCTTTGGCCAGCCTTAGAAACAAACATACAACAACTTTTTAAAAATAACAGAAGCCATCACGCAATATTATGGTCCACAGTTCTTTAATAAAAATGACCTTTGGAAAGTTCTTTGGCAACTTGGTGATAACACAGAAGATCTGTATCATTGGAGAAGATCTGGAATCATTAGATACAAAATCAAATTCTTGTGAGCATATTCAGCCTGAGAGCTTGGCCCCAGTTTCAAATAGGCACTGGGGGTGTTAGACTACACTGTCCATAGAGGATCAACTTCCTGTTTCTGGAGCCTCTCTGTCTCTCCTTCTCCCTCTGCCTGGTTGCCAGGCAGCTGGCATGCCACCAGCTCCCTTTCAGAAGCTTTGAAAAGTATCAAGAGTGATAAGAGTGAAGACAATATAAATGCTTCTTTTTTCATTTTTTTAAATTTTACATACATCCTCCCATGGCATGCCCAGGACAAAATATAAAAGGGAATGATTTCTAGCAAATTTTATTTTGCAAATTGAAAATGAGAGGTTTTTTATTACTCCAGAACCCATGGTAGTTTAGAAGACAAGATATGTTGTTCTACTGATCAGTTGGAAGAAAAGCTGTGGATTTCAAGGTCTGTAGAAGACAGGATGATTGTGGGTTGGCTTCAGTGAACTGTTCCATTTAACCTCATCCTGCCAGGAAACAATAAGGGTCCAGTTGGGTACTTCTCAATGGTCCTGAGATGACAATTATGCCCAACTACAAGAACCACTGGGTTAAAACAGGGCAGATAGACAGAACTGATCTGAAAATTACACAGATTTGGAAGACATAAATTCAGACATCTTTTGCATCTTTTAATTAGTACAATTCTCTACTTTTGCTTATCATTGGGACATGAAATCACATGGTATTGAGTTAACCCTGCACAAACTTACCTTTAAATTGGGGTATCTCCCCTGTAGGGCTTTTAGGTAGCCCTTTATGGCATGCATCACTAGTCAAGGCTACAGTGACACCACAGCTTCCAAGCAAGAAGCCGATCTGTTGGCTACCTGCATCCTAGTTGAAGAAAAAGCAAGGGAGAAAAAGCTTCTAAGTGAATCAATGCAAAAGCAGTAATGAAATGTTTCCTTTAAAATATGTCTGAGCTATTAACATTTGCTTTACTTCGTCAACTAATTTTTAAAAAGACATCTATTATGTTTTGATCAAGGTCCTTGGCTTTCAACACTTCAGTGCTTTTGTAAGAACATTTTTGATAAAATATTTAATACAGAGAATTGTATTTTTCTTTAAAAAGCAAAAATCAGATCATGAAAGACTCCAACTTTTCCAATCTTTGAAACTACAACTTGACATTTGGTGCACAATTTATGACAGGGAGAAGAAAAGCAGAATAAAAACCAGAATCAAATATGGGCACAAAGCAATCCATAAACTAAATAGGCAGGTCTTTTTATTTATCTATAAAAAGCAAGTATTAGATTCCAAACCAAGATTCCAAACCAGGAATAGTATTAGACTGCATTAAGCGGGAGTGGAATCTATTACTTATAGTATATGGTAGTGACTTCTGAATTAGATAATCCAAAGGAAAAGAAAAAAAAATAACTTTATGGGAAAGCCATAATAGTTCAGCAAATTATGTCTAAAAACAAAAGGAGGGACATGCAACACCTGTTATTTTAATTGCCTTCCAGATATCTTGAGCTGACCATTATTGGACACCAATGTTTTAGAACAGTTTGACTCTATGACAATGTCTGCATTCTACTGAATCATAAACTATAGTATTGGCCGGATTCATACCATACATTAAGCCACAAACTGCCCAATATTTCACATCAACACAATGCCTTGTCTCACCATTTTCACTACAAAAGCCTTCAGAATTTGGATTATCCCAACAGAAGTAGGGGACACTTGAATTCTGTGAAACCCCAAGCAAAAAATCAACAAAATTACAGCAACCATAGAATTTTTTAAAATTAATTTCTTTCTATTTTTTCCTCTTCTCTTCTCACTGAAGCTAACACAGAATTTTATAGTTTGGAAAACTCTAGTTAGAAAAAGCAATGACACTATATCAACAGTATTCGGTTTCTGTGTTTCAATTTGGCCAAGTCACAGGTACTCAACAAGATACAACAGTTCAGAATATACAGATAAAATCCATCACTATACCCTAGTATCTGTACAAGATGCACCATACAATAGCCAGACACCACATTTTTCAAAACAGAATAGATACGTTTACAGCAAGACTTTCATTGCATTACAAAGACATTAGGCACTGGAAATCTGAAGCAAACAAAAAGCAGAATGGAGGTTTTGTACTATTGAGATAGTAAAAGAAAGGTCTTGAGATACAGATCTGTTTTGCTCAACAACTCAAATTTGTTTTTATTTTTTAATGTATACTTAAAAGTTGTCAAAAAGCTATCCGTTCTAAGGGAAAGACATGCATTATACTGTCCCCCACATTCAGAGCCTAACATCAACCTCTCTATAGTCAGATTTTTAAAAATAGTATTTAATTACACAGTTGGGTTTGTATATGCTGATTTTAAATATATATATATTGGGATAAGAAACTGGTTTATGACCGATTTGTATAATCATTTCAAAGTTCAGGCACCCAACAAATTCTCAATTATATTTGCATTTTCTAATGATTAAAGTAATTATGAGATATGTATTTCCAGCTTGGCAAAGTTAAAGACATACTTTTGCAAGAAAAGTCTTCAGAAATGAGCTCTCATTTGGTTTGGCTTCTATGAAAATCCAGACAGAAGGAGGAGTACCCTTTTTAAGATAAATAGAAAGAGATAAAGAGGATGAAATCATGCCAGTTGGGGAAAAATTTTGTGCATGCTGTGCTATCAGTAGACCAAGGAGATTCATAACTAGCCAGGCCCTAAAAAATGTACAAAATTTAAAAGGCATTAATCAAAGTTGGCATAAATATTAAAATACATCCTACATTAGTTTAGGACCGACAACAATTGTCTACTCCTTTTATCCCTTGCTGGAATCCCGAAAATTTAGGGTGTCTTTTGGGAGGGAAGGTTGTGGGATTGTGAATAAATCTAACTGACAGATCTCATTATTTTCAAATCATGTCAGTGATTACTTAGACCCAGATTATTCACTCTGATCCTGAATACAAGTATTCCTGGAGTGCAGCTTTCCCCCATTAAGGTTTTTCTAATGCCCCAGAGAAAATTAAAGCATATCTATTGCCCAAAGACAATGACAGAATAAGACTTCATCTCTCTTTAAACTAAGAAGTAATCAGCAGGACTCTCTTTAAACCAAGAAGTAATCAGTGTTTTATTTTGGCTATGAAGAATGGAAGGGAGAGTGTAGAAAGGTATGGCCTACCAGAGAACACTACAGCGAGAGAGCTTGCTTTAAATAACACAGTGCATATGCTTACTTTGTATAGCTTGATGTGAAAAAGGAAATAATGCAGAAATAAGACAAAGAAATGTCCATGTACACGAAATAATATTCCTTAGGCCAATATACACTTTCAATTGTCTTCTCTGGGTCCAATTTACACTCTGTCCTGACATCTGAAGTTTAATAGTATAATGCAAATATATATGCACGCTTAAATCAATAAATAATATTTTGCACATCTACAGATTTTCTTTCACTGCTTCTATTTTCTATATTTTTCTCAAAAAAGCAATCTAGCAAAAATGCACGAAAGGGTTGCCAATGGATGCTACAAATATTTTAGAAACGATGGCAAGCTAAAAAATTGAAGGAGGGGTTTGCCTTTCCTTGCCACTATTCTTATTGTTACTCAGCTGCTGGCCAGGTTTTAATTACAAAGAAGGAAAGTCAAACTCCCCACTACTGTTTTTTCAACAGAGTTTCTCTGCCATACAGAGTTTCTGCAACATCTGAACAATTTCTGAGAATGTCTATGAAAACCAACAGATGTGATGGATTTTGTTGTGTCTATCTCATTTTGAGAGAAGAGATAGGAAGAGGGGAGAAGAGATAAAACATAAAAGAATGTCCTGGGGGGGGGATGATATGAATGGATTCTCTAAAATGTAGTTGTACGTTTCTTTTGGAATGCTATCTGTTATCCAAAAGATTATTGAATTTTTTCTAAAACGAAAAGCTAGCACATATAACCATGGACAGAGTCCATTTTAAAACACACTACTCTGCACAGCTTTACAGTATCTAGCTTGAAAAGAAACCTAAATGAGATTTGTCTTTACAAGTGGAGGACAGTTAATACATATCACAGCGTCTCAAGTTTTTCAGCTGCTTAATATCATACATGATATGGTATGATATGATATGATAGGGGTTCTTGTCTTGTGAAGCATCTGCTCTTGTATCAGATAGATGAATTTTCAGGAACTTCATTGCCATCACAGCTAGGAAAGGAACAAGGAACAATTCAAAGACAAGGACAAGAGTGAGGAAAATTGTAGGACAAAACTCTCAAATTTAAAGAACTTTGTAACCATGCTACATACATACATTTCAAAGTGAAAGAAGAGCTCCTAAAGATTATTTGTGTCCTCAGATTAACTCATATAGGCCTAATGGTTATCTAAGGATAAGATATAACCTTGAGAAAATCAATCACTCCAAAATATTAGCATTAGAGGGAGATTTATACAAATACTTCTACAAAACAGTAGACAGCTATGTGAAAGAAGAAGGAAGGAAGTTAAGAGAAAATAGCATACACAGGATAGTAAAAGTCATAAAAATACTTTGGAAGCGGGGATGAAGAAGCAGGCAGATGCAATAAACATTTGCCCAACCTGGATGCCTTAAAAATACACGGACGTCAGTTCTCTAAGTTCTCAACTATCATATTGGCTGAGGAATTCTTAGGGCTGATATTCACAGATGTAGATGGGAAATGATGTTTTGAAAGGAGACTCAGGGCAGGTTAAGGATAATCTCCCAGTAAGTAGATTCTACATTACTAGTCTACGTTATTGTTCACTAGAGAAGGCTCTCTAAAACATGCTATTCGCAAATCAATAAGTTTAATATAACCCACCACTTGCATCTGGCCATATTTTTATGAGCGGGAATAAAGGTGTATGGTGCAATAAGGGGCTGTAGAAGCTCCTTGATACAAGATGGAGTAAGGTAAAGGTAAAGGAGTCCCTGCGGGGTTTTACCCCGCTAATCGTAGCTGACTTTAGAGAGTGATTCCCATCCCTGTTTCTTTAGGCCATTGAGCCAACGCTGTCCAAAGATGTTTCCAAGTCAATTGGCCAGCATGACATCATGCTGCATTGCAAAGCATACGGCAAAACATGGAATGTTTTTACCTTCTCACTGAAATGGTACCTGTTTTATAAGCTTCCATTTACATGCTTTTGAACTGTTAGTTTGCAGAAGCTGAGGCAAGTGGTGTTAGGACTTGGACCACTGGAGCACAAGCCTAAGCCACTAAACCATGATGCTTCTAATGTTTGAATTCCTTTAACATGCCTGTTCTAAAGAAAGCATTGCATGTCACTTATTTCAGACATGTTACACAGCAATACAGAAGAAGAGTTTTTAAAAATAGCATACTGAACATTGCCTGCTTTCCCAGTATCTGATATAAGAAAACTACTACTGTATGTATTGAAAGCCTTGTAGGCAGAATAACCAGTGAGTTAGAAAGGGCTGGACTCTCACATAAAATCTGTATGCAGTTCTGAAGTTCTCTGCAGATGAAGAAAGTAAATGTTGAGAATTTCTCCAAGCAAGTGTTCTTGGGTTCTTCATCCTTATTTTAGGAATCACATTAGTCAAAACCACATGAAATTATTACACATCACTCGTCCAACTCTTTCCCACTATATAACATGTATGGTTTTATTTGATGGATGATTCTTTTTCTCATACATTGTGCCATTTTTGAGGCATGCAAGATCATGGGGAGATTGAACAACTGAGGGACAAGAGAAGAATCAAGGGCTCGAGTGTGAAAAATTAAATGGCAAAACTTTCAGGCAATCTGGTAAAATTTGAGCAGCGCAGGTGAGGATGAACCAAACTGTGTGATATTCAGCTGATTGGTTGTCTTCCAGCACCAACTATATATAAAACCCGGTTACAAGTGTTTTAATTAACCAGAGACTTAGGCCCTTGCTGCCATTTTTCTTTTTCAAAAGACACAATTGCCTCAAGTTCCTTTTTAGTAAATTCTGTGTAAACATGATGCTTCTTTATACAAATGATTTCTTTCTTTCCTTTTTTTTACAAAAACTAATCTTGGCAAGAATTTTAACAGGTAGAGCAACTTACATGCTTTTGAAGGGACACTAGTTTATTGTGGTATCTTTTCAACTGTACTTGCAAAATAAAAGTGTGATGAAAAACTTAGCAGCTAGTTGTTAAATGCAGAAAGGCATTTGTGCCTTACAAAGTTTTCGTGCAAGGAGAAGAGAAGGGGGAAATTTAATAGGTGTCATTTCTCTGAAACTGTTATAGCAGTGCTTCCTAAATACTTTCTTTCATTATCCAAAACTGCTTACCCAAAAATCCTTATTTAAATGCCCCTAATGTGATTGTATAATGACACACAAACCCATTACTCAGAAAAAAGTCACTTTTACCCAATTTTGGGTAATTTATCCAGCTTTGGCAAGCACTGTGTTAAAGAATGATTCTTGCTAAACTGCTATGTATGAAGCAAGAGGCAAAGGTAAAAAGGTTTTCCTATCCAGTTATGTCTGAAGACATGTTCTTTAGTCATGTGGCCAGCATGACTGTATGTCAAAGGCACATGGAACAATGTTACCTTCCTACCAAAATGGTCTTCGAACTGCTAGATGGGCAGGAGTTGAGGCAAGGAATGGGAGTTCACCCCGCCGTGTGGCACTTAGGTCTTGAATTCAAGCTATCAGCTTTCCAGTTGACAAGCTCAGAGTCTTTAACAACTGAGCCATCATTTATGCCTCTTTATGTATAAAACAGAGGTGAGCAATGTTTGAAAGGTACCTGATATTCTGTTGTGATCTCACTAGGTGGGACATTCTATATTTTTAAAGGGAGGAAGGGACTCACTCCTATTCCCACCTGAAAACCATTCCCAATTCTGCAAACTGCACTGTTACTTTTGCTGAATTGAAATGCTTTAATCCCAGACAGATTGGGGAACGCAAAGGAAATGGCATGAACCACATGTAGCCGGCGGTGGGTCTGCAAGAGCAGGAAAGTGATGTCTGAGAGACATAAGCAGATTTCCATGATTGGAATGGAAGTCCAACCACTTTTCTGTATATTTGTGACATGCACATGGCCCCAAATGCCAGAAGATTACTAATCAAAGTAGTAAGAGGGTGTGACTTTATTGCATTAATGGCCCATGGTCCACAACCTTGCCTATATCATAAACTAGATCTTTTTTGGACAGGGCATCTAAAACATATATTTAAACCTTCATGAGAAGGTTGTCTGCCCCAGTAAAATATTTGAAATGATTTGCAACTGATCATGTCTTCAGCCTTTGCATTTCTCCTCCATGGTAAATCTCCTATAGGACCAGATATAAGCAGGATATTCCTAGCCAACATGCCAATGCACAGAAAACTTGAACTTCCTAAGAAGAGAAATAAGGTATTTTGCTCTTCTTCTTGGGTTATTAAATTCCCAAATCAATATATGACATTCCATTGTGGTTTAAAAGATAAAGAAAGACCTTCAAGTTAATATGCAGCCAAAACATGGTTAGAAACTATTATTAGCAATGCACCTGCCAACAGTTTTTAATCATTTACTTATTTCAACTGTTTTGAATATTTCCTGTTTTCAGAAATGTGTTTAGCATTATTTTGATTATCAGGCTGCCTGGAATTTTTTGAAAACCACACACCAACACTGGAAGTTTTTAGCAAGAGATTGGACAACCATTTTTCTAAAGTGGTGTAGAGTATCCTGCCTAAACAGGGGGTTTAGGCCCCCTCCAAGGGCCCTTTCAACTCTTATTCTATTCTATTCAAGAAGAATTTTTTTTTTAACTTTACCCAAACAATGCTGATAGTCTCTAAAGCTATCTTTTGGACCACCATAGTCATAATTCATAATGGACATTTTTATCATCCAAACATGTATTAATTATGCAGCTGGCTCGAAGTCTGCTCCAAGAAGAACATCCACCAGCTTACAAATTGAAGAAACAGGCTTGTCACCACTCTTAATTCCACTGGACTAGCTCTATGAAGATCCTAGTCATATGAAGTACCACTTAAGTAGCAAAATTGCAATGATTACTTAGACGATGCCCAAGTTCCCAATCAACTCTATTTTTTAAGGAATAAATTGCCAAGATAACTCTTGCAAAGTTCAGGGAGTCTAGTTCTTGTAGTATCAGCACTGCTTGAAATTTTTTTCACTTAAATCAAAATAAATCTAGACCTTTCTAGCTAATCTTCTTAGAGCTATTTTTCTAAGTATTCTAAAGCAGTTATTATTCATGGTGCCCTCCCAAGGCCATGCCACAGTAGGAAAGGAGAACCCTTGTGAAACATGGCACCTTGGACAATTCTGTCCATTGCAAATAATGGTATAATTGGTGGTGGGCTCCATCACCTTCTCTGCACTATTGCCTTCAGCTTCTTTCCAAAGCTACCTTCTACCTTCTTCCCCGCCCTTCAAATGTGGCTGGTCCTAAATTTTGTTTAATGTTAAGTTTCAATTAATTGAAGTATATAGCTCAAAGCTTTCTCACGGCTTTCATGGTTCCATATGCAACTGATCTTTTTATTTTTGCATGCAAAACTAATCCCTTAGGGAACTGGGGGACAGAAGCCTTAAAAACCGATTCTTTTCTATGCTGGTCAAATTCTATTTAGCATTCAGCTACACCGAAAGTTTACAACCTGTTCTAAAATAATATTTAAATAGTAAATCCATCTTAGCTTCCCAATCAAGTTAAGGCAATGTCATCAGCACATGTATACATAGATGGTATACATACTCTGATGACATGTAATAAATATGTTACAGTTTCATAGATATGTTAAAGCAACAATGCCTATTGTTATTTTTCATTTCCTTCTGAAATCCTCAAAGATTATGTCCTGACATCTGACCTTAATTCCTGCTAAGATAACTAAAAACTTCTTTCTCTTACCTTTCTGGTAAGTGGCACTTCAATGGGAACAGGAACAACTTCTGCAAGAAGGCAGCCATAAAATGCTACCATAAAAGCTGCTGGATCATTGTTGGGAAAAACAAGGGCTACCTGTAAAAAAAATAATAAGCGGGAGGAGAAAAATAAATAATAAGATCTGTAAATGTAAATACATTTCCCAGAATGTTTCTATAGCATTACAAATAGACATCTTACCAACCAAAGCAACCAATTATACATGAGGAGCTACACAGGATTATGCACAGAAGTAACACATGTGTCTTTCTTGGTTCTTGGATTCTGATATCAAGCGACTGGTATCACTCTGTACTCAAAAATAACTAGGGCTTCTATAATTTGTGCTCCGGAGGCTATGATCTTTGACTAAAGAACTTCTGTGTGTCCATCCTGGAAGGAAGTCTGCCTCATAGTTACCAGCAGCAGGGCATTCTCAGTGATGGCTCCCAGTGCTGTAGAATTTCTTCCCTTGCTAGATTCCCCCAGCAAACTAAATTCAATTTAAGGATTTTTTTTAAAAAAAAACACACCTGTATTTTTACATTTTGGTCTTGCAAAATATCATGGTTATATTTAATTCTTTCCCCTGAATTTTCATAATGACACCATGGACTTTTTTGAATTAGATTTATGACCTACAAGGTCCCTTCCAACTGTTGATCTGTATCTGTATCCAGTATTTAACGTTTTGGTATTAAAGTTACTTGCTACTTTCATCTCTATACTTAATTATTAAGTCCTTCTTATTGATTGGATACTTGCTTATTGATGCAGGTTGGATTTTTTTTTGGTAATATGTGATATATCAATGTGATAAATAAATCCATAAACTGTAGTTCAACAACATTAGCATTATTTGTCTATCCTTTTACAGAGTAAACAACTCTAGAGAGACCAATAATGGTAACCAAAGGAATGGGATCCTCTGAAGCCAAATTGCTTCTAGCAGGAATGATCCTTTAAAGATTCTTTAATAGTTTTTTGCGCCACCTGCTCTTACTGATCAGCTTCTAGATGGTCCTACTTAGAATTAATTGGAACTTAAAATGAAATATATGTAAATCCTTATTTCAAACCTATTTCTACTGAGAAACTGAAAGAGACATAAATTGACTTTTAACTCAGCTAAGTATAGCCCATTTCAGTTTCATCTTATAAGCAATCTTTCATTTTGATCATTTTTCAGATGCCACATGTCTAATGGAAAACTACAATCACTAGATGATGCTCTTAAGTTTTGTTGTTAGTTTTTGATAATTGCTAAAAATCATGCTTTTAGTTGGGCTCATAAAAGAACAACATACCAAAAGGGGCTGCGTTTTCCTGGTTGCAAATCTGTTTTATTCTTTTTTTTTTGCCATTAAAAGACAAGAAAGAAACATCGCATCTTATTTTTCTGGTTCCTGTTGATGACTTTCAAACTTCATTTCTACGTATTCCTCCTCTTTTGACATTCAATTTCATTTCACATGACAATAAACAAAGCTTAAAAGAGAAAGAGGATAAAACCTTCCACAGTCACGCTTTCATACTCCTTCAGGAGAGAAATGGCCTTCTTTGGAATAATCAGTCTCAAATAACGATGAACCTGATAGAGCTATTTTCTGCAATCAATTTTCTGGAGAACTCAGCTGCAAGATCTTTCTTTTGAGGTCATGGCTAAATGCTACTCATTAAATTGTCATTCTAATTCTGAGATTGCTGTCAACCACTGCCTCTTTGATACTCCCAACCCAGATGAAGGTTCATAGAAAGCATGGATTTTCATCTGTTACTTTATTTATTGCACTACTATGGCAGCTTTTGAGGAGTCTTTAGAATGTGAAAAGATGTGTACACTGGTCAGGATAGTGTAATATTCTTGCCCATAAATGGAAAAGTTGTTTAAGCAATTTCATACATAGTCAAAGAAAGAAGGTAAAATTCTATACTAGGATTCATGTACATAGAAGAATTTAAACCTCTCTCTATGCCTTGGTGTGAGATATACATGGTATAATTTCCTCATAATATACTCTAGAGGCTGAACTAACAATTCTGAGTATTCCATTTTACGTAAGAGATTCACCAACACACATCACAATATGAGAGCACACAAGGCGCAGAGAAAGAAAATGTCAATTTCATAACTTTCCTTGATTTATTTATTCTGTGCGCTGCCCGTTTTAGAGTCTTAAGAACTATTGTAATTCAAGAAGATTCTGGAGATACATTTTGGCCAAATGCCAAAACAGACAATAATTTAAATTCAACATCTGCCTACAGTCTTTTTAGTTTAATTTTTCACCATCACTTACGAAAAGAAAGAAAGAAAGAAAGAAATCATTTCTGTAGGACCTGAACTGACATAAGGAGCGCTCTGAAGTTGAACAGCTTAAGACAAGAAAGGAGATGGGGGAAATCTTATTAGTGAAGGGAAGGCAGAGAAGATCAAGAGGCAATTAGGAAGAGGTTAAACCAAAGAATATATCCAAGAATCCACTAATTTAATGTAAGCTATTTCTTTTCATTCATTTGGGAGATTCACTTGCCACCATTTAGGGAAGCACTCCCCGAAGTATAGTTTGAAAGTTTTAAATTTGTTTCTGTGGAGTTTCATTAACATTCTCTGGTACTAACAACAGACCCAGCTTCCGTTAAACAAGTGGAAATATAGATTATTTTGAGTTTTTTTAAAAAGCCTCTTCAGTTTTATGCTTTATTCCTTCTCATTTTGTTCAGACTGTAGCTCCTTTCCATTTTTCAGAAAAGAGAGGCTCTAAAAATGAAGCATCTTTTGCAACAGAAGCTATCATTTTCATAATAGAATTTTTCAATGCCAAGTAATAATGAGTAATTCTTATGCAAATTCAGCTGAAGGAGCCATAGAGAGGCTGAGACTACTTGAAAACTGAGCACCAGACTTGACAAATTCCAGGAGGACATATCTGTGCATAGGGAATTGCATTATTGCACACAACATGAACAGGGCAACTCCCTAAAACACTGAGGGGGAAAAACACACAACTCCCAGTAGCACAAAAACAGAGTGCGGCAGTCAGGATGGTGAAGCATTATTTCTGTTCTATATTTGTTCACAGGTCAAGGCTCCCCGCCCCCACTCCTTTGTGGTAAATAGCAGCTTTGACTTTTCTGGCTGTGGATTCAACTTTGATGCTGATGAGAAGAAGTAGCAGCTTCATGGGGGAAGCAAAACCACTAGGTGTAAATAAAAAGTAGAAAGGAATTCATGAAGTGTTGCCATCACAGTGATTTGGATGAACAAGAAAGGGATCCGAACAAACCCAAACAAAATACCAGAAAATGAAGTGCGAAAAAAGGAAACCACAAAACAGATAGAGAGAAAAGGGATGGCTGAAAGGACAAAGATACATTTGGCAATGAAATTGGAAGAACATTGAAAATTCTTCTTCAACCAAATGGAGACTAGAGAAGACAGTTAAGTGCTTGTGAAAAGATAGAATAAGGAACAGAGTTTCTATAATACAACATGGAGGCATATCTCGAGAAAGGATGTGGATGGAGGCATATCTCTTGAGGGAAGTACGTAGATGGAGACATATCTGGAGGGAAATACGTAAATGAGGAATATCTCTTGAGAGAAATACATAGATGGAGTTGGTCTTTACAAACATTTAGAGGTGATAAACAACAATATATTTCACTCGACATAGAATTGTTTAAAATTCTTAGAGATAAAGGTGTGTCCCACTCCTTGGGATGAAACCACACAAGAAAATTGCCCCATACTCATACACATCTCAATACCAGTTCATGGTAGCCTGCCCTATTTTAAGCAATTATGTTCTAATGCCACAGTTACTGCTTTCAAATGGGAATATTTTTAACTGATTATACTGAACATCTTATTAATTAGCTAGCAGTATTCCCTTGTTCAAGCCTGACCTTTTCACAAAAACTCTTTTGTTTCTAGAATTTCCTAGAATATACAAGCACACAGTCTCATTTCCAAAACTGATTTCATCTCCATGACAAGCATGTTTTAATGCTCTTTGTATAAGGAAGCCATTGTGATAAGTACAGCCTCTGTTTTGAAAGAGAGACATACAATTTTAACCATAAATAGGCTATTATAAATAAACTCTTCAGACTAATAGCTATTTTTTTAAAATCTGAAATATTAGGGTGAAATTGTTTGAAACTCAGTTGTACACACTGTTGCCTGAAGTCTCTACATGATAATTGAAAGTTTCTACAGCTCCTTTGAAGATCGTTGCAAAATTGTAATACTGAATGCGAGGAATGAAAAATTATTCAACATATGGGGAAAGAATCATATTCACAGTATTTAATTCATTTAATTTCAGTACATTAAGGTAAACTTAGTGTTGCCTTTCCTCCCCTTTTTGGGAATGCAACCATGACATTTAAATAAAAGACCTAGTGTGACTCTTGGATAGTTGCTGTGCATCCTGGTTTATAGAAGGCAAACACAAAAATATAAACCATGATGAATGAATAACCTATTCAAACATTAGACCATCTCACCTTTGGGAATTTTAAGAATCTATGCAAGAAAGTACAAAGACACGCACTGATAGCAAAGTTACTTACCCTGTCTCCTGGCCGCACCATCGGTTCCTGCTTGGTGCCCAATTTGTGCAGTATGTTATAAGCAACTTTCATACTACGAGTCCAAAGTTTACCTAGTCAAAAAGAAAAATAGTATAAACATGGCATGGAATATTTAAGCTTTAGAATGGTTCAAAACACAATTCAGATACATTTGCCCCAAATAGAGGGAATCTCGTGCTACAATATCTGACTGTGCTGATAAGCTTCGTATTTTAAACAGACATCATTTAAACGTTTGTATTTTAAGAACAACTTCAATTCATCAGCAGCTAGGTCTTATTGCTTAAGTCAAAGTTGGCTCTGACTGCCCTAACTTAGAACCACCAAATATTTCTTCCTTTTTTCTACCTCAAGAGTTTTTAATTTCACGGTACAAGTCAATTAACTGGCTATACAAGTTTGAAAACCAGATTTACTTACATTGCGTTTATACACTCTTATGAGACCTATCTAGATTTTATACTCAGAAGTTCACATCTACATCATGCATAGTGATAGAGAAATCCTCCAACGTAAAGAAGATACTACATCGCTGGTCATATAGAGTTCTATGCTATATATTGGAGCTTCAAAGGAACACAAAAGGTAATCTGCCAAATCCTTCCCCAAACTTGCACAAGTCGACCTTGTTAAATAAAACTCTAAGCAAAGAACAATTCTCTGCTCAAACAGTAAAAATTGATGAACTATATTATGACCATACTTCTACCTTTTAACAAGTGTTCAGAAGGGGTTTCCCTCGGTATTACCGTATTCAGCTAGTAGCTGCTGTCTTGTCAGCACAAATAAGTCAGATCTGTTTCAATATCCCTGGGAAAGTTGATTTTTGTTCTTTGAAATGTTCATCCTGACAGTTTCATGGCTCCTTATATAGAGTACAATCAACGTCAACTTTTTCTGAACAATCTATGCTACAAGTTGTATATCTGTGTGTGATTTAACACAGAGGAAAATGTTTTTCATCAATTATGTCCAGATAATTTTGAGTGCTGGCAACGTTTGGCCCAAATTCAAAGAAGGCTATAATGAAGCCATTAGTCACCTGCAGCTCTGATCAGAGTCTTTAAGCCAATTATGAAAGTTCAGATAGGCGATTTTTTTAAAAAAGCTATTGCTGCATTTCTCCATAATTGCAAACTAGATGAAGCCTTTTATTTGCGGTAATTAATGACAGAGCATATGACAAAAAATATAAAATAAAAATCAAGCACTTGCAAGCAAGGAATTTGGAAATAAACAAGAAAGCAATCCATTTTGAATCCCTCTGATTTAATTAAAATACAGAATAGTGATATAAGCATAGACAGAAATACATTCAAGGAAAGTGTATCAAAAGACAAACAAGCAGCTTTACACAAAACATATCTGATGGCAATATGATGGCTCAGCATAAGGTAAGCAATGGCAAGTTCAAAATATGGATTAGAGGTAGTTCTTGCTTCATTGCCAGTTACTCAGTGATCATTTGAACTTGCAATAGACCTGGAAAAGGCACTTATTTCCCAGTTCTAGAGTTTCAACAGTGCTCACTCCCCTAGCACTCTCAAGACCACATTTTAAGCACTTCACAATTGACTGGTTGCAGCATTTCTCCATCACATGACCACAATTTACTATTTTTTTGTTTCCCCCCAAAAAATGTCCATAGGGATGAATTAACTTGTTTTATGACTACCATTTTACCCTTACCAGCACCATGTTTGCTTTATAATCACTATACTTGTTTTATGACCGCCACAAAAAAAAGGACATAAAATCAGATTGGTCATGCCAGTACCTTGAGTTACCACCATCATGACTTGGGCTCTACTGGGGTCATAGGTTGATCACAGTCTATTAATTAACTAGTCAAGCATGTTTGTGAATCTTGCTAGAGAACAAACATCTATCTCCCACTTGTGTGGCCAACTATGTTCCCTTTCCTAGTGTGCAGTGTGACCTTGCTGATATTGGTAACCGAATGTTGCTTGCACAGACAAAGCATTTTATTGAAAATTTACATGCATTTCCATATCGAATTCATACATACTCTTATCTGAAACAAGCAACAATTGCCTGTTGGTAGTTTACTGAAAATCAAAGCTTTACTTTTTGATTTACTATCTCTGAAATCAAGAATAAAGGGAAAAATATTGTTTGAAGGCCACTTCCTTATGTGTATTTATTAGGGCTAAAGACACATTGAACATGATTCAGAAGAAGCAATTCATATCTTGTGTGTGTATTGCATTTCTCTGCTATTTGCTTGAGCAACCTGACTTTTTCCACCTTTTGGTGTGAGGTCCAAAGCATTTCTTCCAAAGCATTTCTGAAGCGGGCATTATTTTACTACCCTGTGCAGAAGATACCATTAAAATCCATTGGATACATCCCTGAATAAATGTGCTTAATTAATAATATGGTCATAATAATATGAGCAGGGAAACGGGACATTGGAAAGCATGGGTACAGATACTTCTATAAAACTTGGCAATTTTCTTGCCAGGGTTCTGCTCCATTAGTCATGAATATGTTGGGTGTAAAAGCTGTCAGCTTGTGGCAGAGAGGTATGCCGACAGAAAAGCAAACCACAAAATTAGGATTATATCATGAACAGGAGGATTTTCAGCACCACACACCACTAACTTAGCCACAGCAAAACAGAATAGTCTTACCAAATGTATGCGTATCAGTTCAGAATTTTGACAAAAACCAGCTGCAAATAATTGTACATTTTTTTCAGCATCACAATATACTTCCCACAGCAGTAGACACTGCAGTAACTGAGTGCTTCTCACACTCTTAACAATGTACAGAAATAGATATTATAAGTCAGCATTGTATGCAAGTATGCCCCACTGATATCAAACAGCATTGAAAGGTGGGTGGGTTGTTTTAATCTGAATCACTCTGCACCACACCCTCCTGACACAGGCCCCTGACTTCATGGGCTGCTACCCAACCAGAATGTGTAGGTGTACATCTCAGACTGAGAATGATGAAACATATACTACATAGAGAGAGAAAGATAATTATTTTAGGACTGGTGCAAAATGGCCCCCTTAAATTATTTCTGAATTGAAATATATAAACAGAAAACATTATGTGAGGAATATGCACATACAAACTCTTTTCTTCAAGAAAGCAAGGCCAGCTGTCATCTTAAATTAACTTACTTTTCTAGGGCAAAAAAATGTGATGAATAAACGCTGTTAATGCTATATGCGTAAGAAGATATCATCTTCAAGAGTGTATGGAACTGCCAATATTGATCCAAACTATTATTTCTGCTGAATGCTATCAACTCTAAACCACATGGTTCCCCAGATTTTTATTCCTGTTATTGCTACAAATGGAGATGACTCACTTGAACACGAAAATTCACATGGTATCTTGGAACTCAACTGAAACTCATTGAATTTGGTACTCAAGACATTCTGATGTGAACATTTTATCTTGGTACTCATCATTTGTTTGGTAGGAAAATTCACAGTGGTATCTTGGAACTCAACTGAAACTCATCAAATTTGGTACTCAAGACATTTTGATGAGAAAATTTTGTCTTGGTGCTCATCATTTGTTTGGTACTCAAACTAGAATTTGTCGGTGTCAGTTGCCTTGTGATTCACTACATTATTCCTAATGGGGAAATTTTGTTTGGTACTTATCATTTCTGGTGGTTATCGCATCTGCCGGAACCAATTAACTATGAGTACTGAGCTACCACTATTCCATTTCAAACATGACTTTACTTTTAGTTTACTTTACATTTAGTTACAACCTTCTCTGTTAAATATACTCTTTAAGGGGTTCCATTCAGTTCAGTCAAGTTGAGTTCCTATAATTTGTCTGGAGAAACCCTTAAAAAATGATCATATTTAAAGGTAAAGATAAAGGTTTCCCCTGTTCAGTTGTGTCCAATTTTAGGGAGCAATGCTCTTCTCCATTTCTCAGCTGAGGGAATCTATATTTTCCAAAGACACTTCCATGGTTATGTGGTTAAGGTGCATGCGGTGTTACCTTCATACTGAAGTAGTACCTATTTATCTACCCACATTTTAATCCTTTCAAACTACTAATATTTAACAATTAAAAACATGAGATGATTTTCAGCATTCTATTATATTTCTTTTCTCAAAAGAGGAAAAAAGGATTGCTGACCGTAAGTGAGAATATATAGTGGTTTTCCATTGGTATCCATAGTGGTCAAACAAGGAGCTTTGGGAGAAATTGTTCCCCATCGTTGCAGTGCAGCTTCAAGTGAAGGAGGCCAATTCGTAACCACGCCCAGCTGCTCCCCACGCATTGCCAACATCTGAGCTCCTTCTGGCTTTGGTTGATTAGGATCTGGTTGTTGAACTTACAAATGTGAGAGGGTGTTACTTCATTTAATTCTGTACTAAACTAAAGAGAGAGAAAACTAAACATTTACTTTTGAAAGATCCCCTGAAAAGAAGATAAATGCTGAATTTGATTTCAGAATGGGGGAGCTTGCTCTGCAAAACCAATTTTGTACACTGTCCACATGTGTTGACATCAAATCCCAGAATTCACCAGTGGAACAGTCAAGAATATTGTGTGTTGTAATCCACAAATCTGGAGATACCCATGTTGAAGAAAACTTATAATCTTATGGGTCTATCTGGCCTATTTGAGATGTTGCAATAAATAATGATTGGATTTTAGAGAACATATTGTTGTCAAGCCTTTTCTCAATCATGTTTCTTCTTCCAGTTTAATATTTACAATAACCATGAATTTTTCAATTTGGAGGTCAATTTGCCCCTCAAAGATCCTTCATAGATATCCAGATGTTCAAACTGATAGCCATGTATGAACCATATGGTTAAAGAATGTAGTTTACAAAAAATATTGAATAATGCTCTCTTTCCCAACTAATCTAAACAAAGGAAGTGAGTAGCAGTTATTAATTATGTGCAGCATGTCATAGGACAATGAAGTTCTTTGTAGCTACATCATCAAATAGCAACAGCAATATCATTTAAGCTTATATTTTGCCCCATAGCACTCTACAGCGTTCTCTGGTTTTTTTTTACCATTGTAAAAGTATAATTTGCATATTGCCCCCAACAATCTTTTTCATTTTACCAGAAGAATGGAAAGCTGAGTCAAATTAAGTCCTGTCAGGATTGAATTCCAAGCTGTGGGGAATTTGCCTGCATTACTCTGTTTTAATCATAGCACCACTAGGGCTGCAGAACTAAATACAGAATCCAAGTAAATTTTTCTGGGGCATTTTTTTTTCTGGCATAAGAAATTTTATCAGGCGCTCCCAAAATACATGCGTGGAAGTCAAGCTGTATTACCTTCTAGTAATTCTTCAAAGTCATCCACAAAGAACTCTCGTAATGGTGGACGTTTGGGTCGCTTCAGAGTATTAACCAGTTGCTGGATTTTGGCGGATACTCTGCTGCTTACTGGAACTCCTGCAGGAAAATAAATCATCAAAAGCATTGAAGGGGACAGTTATGTCTACCAATTCTAGGTAGAGAACAAAGGCATACCAATCTGAATTCAAGCTTTAAAAATCATATTAAATAATAGTCTACAGGAAGCAGCTTGATAGCCCTGCAGAGATATTTTGAAAAATCTCTGTCCAAGCTGGTAAATAACCAATCACAAGACGGGAAGAATCCTGTAGTTAAACTTCACTGTGATTAAATAAACAGATGGATGAATGCCCTTCTCAAGCAGAATGGCCAATAGGCTTAGAATAAGCAAGACTTATTATGTCAAATTTTAATACTTTTACTTCCATGGATCATTTTCCTGGATATTTCTGGAGCTACCAGTTATCCTACTTATAACTGATACAAAACACCTCAACCTTACCTTTTTCTTGACTTTTCTAGTCTTCAGTCATGCAGAAGTTTAAATTCTTGCTAATTAAAACTTTTTAAGCATCAATTAATTAATGCCTTTTTCCTGTACATATTAATGAACAGGAATACCTCTGCTACACTATCTATCTGGCCAATTTTCTTTCTGGAAGTCTATGCCTACGTTCTTCCCTTTTACTAGACATACCATCACCAGTTTCCATAAGTTCAGCATTTCCATATTTTGGTGCCGCTCTTGATGTTGAACCTTGTGGTCTTTCTACTTGTATTGAGTGTTCGGAGGTGTAAGTGGTAACATCTGGAGGGGCAGAATGATTTTCTGAAAAAAGGGAAAAAAAAGTCTCTAATTAATTTATTCAGGAATTTTTGAATAGTATTTTGGGACTCTACAATTCCTTCCATGAAAGCCACCAATTTAAAAATAGTCCCTTTCGTTCAATTTTATAATTGATGAGCTTTGATTCCACTAATCCACAAAATTTTATGTTGAAAAAAGGTAAAAGGTCGTGTTTGACTCTAGGGGGTGGCACTTCTCTCCCGTTTTCTAGCTGAAGAAGCCAGCACTGTCCGAAGTTGCTATGGTCCATGGTCAAGTGACTGGCATAACTATACACCAAGGCACACGGAACACTAACAATTCTTATTTTCCCATTCCGAAAACTAGCACTTAAGATCAGCTACATGCTGCATGCTTAAGTACACATAGTTAAAAGAGTTTTCCCATGTCCAACTCAAGGGAGCAGAGCTCATCTTCGATTCTCTGTGTTGTCTGAGGGACTCTTCCACCATCATGTAGCCAGCAGGAAAATAAGGAACAGAGTAAACTTTCCCACTGAAGCGGTGCCTATTTTTCCCCCCATGTTTTATTTATTTTATTTATATAACATAGGAAAATTCAATTTCCATCAAACAGTGTGTTGTCTGGGTACAATTGTTTTTAGGCAATCGTAATCAAAATGTTTACAATAGTATTCATCACAATAACATTAATACTATAATAACAATAATATTTAACTTATCTACTTTAACCAATCTCCGTTTTAACATTTATCCTTTTTATGTCCCCACATTTCTAACTTCTGTTTCTATTGTCCAAACATTGCTAAAATAGATCCCATATCAAAAAATATTCAGTTTCTTCTTTGTCCTTAATAGTAAGTGGTACCTGTTTATCTACTTGCATTTGCATGCTGGGTTGGCAGGAGCTGAGGCAAGTAATGGGACCTCACCCAATTGCTCAGCGCTTGGGTCTTGAACACGGTGGCCAGCTTTCCAGCAGACAAGCCTAGTCTCTTAACCGTTGCGCTGCCCAAGTATATGTATATATGTGAAAACTGCAGGCTGCAGGAGACGGGACGGGTGGTGTCAGTTATCATTTGAGAATGCCACCAAGTGCCCAATAGTGAGACCTTGCTTCCGAAACTGCTATTTCCAGGTTAGCAACCTGAGTGCAGAGGCCACTCCTGATCCAGGAAAATCTGCCAGTGAGGCACAACCTTACACTGTGCAAAGGTTCTCCTAGCCACGACTGCCATCTGCTCTTTTGAGAAGGAGTTGCGAGTCCAAAAGAACCCCAAAGTTGTGAACTAGGTCCATGGTTACACTTGGAGCCATTCAACCTTGTGAGGTTATGACCAACTGAAGGGGGTTCATGTCAGATTCTCAATCAAGGGAGGCTGCATTGTTTGAGAAACGCTTCCATCATCATGCAGCCAGCATGAAAATAAAGAATCCAGTAAACTTTTCCACTGAAGTAGTATCTGTTTAGCTGCTTGCATTTGTATGCTTTCAAACTGCTAGGTTGGCAGGAGCTGGGCGAGTAATGGGACCCCACCCAACTGCATGTCGATTGAGTCTCTTTAATAGTTGTCTTTTTCTAGCAGACAAGCCTACGTCTTAATCGCTGTGCTATTGCGCCACCCAAGTATGCGTAAGCAGGAACAAATATAAATGACTGGGGGGTTATTTCCACATGGATGCAGAAAGAGCTAAGCTCTCTACTGTACTCTACAGCCATTTTTAGAGTTTGTGTTTTTTTAAATGGCATTAAGCACTGGATCAATACGAAAATCTTGTTAAAATTATCCATAAGGTGAGTGGCCCGTCATAAATTGATTTGAAACATAGCAATTTGCTACTTCTCCATTTCCAGACACAGTTCCTACATACGTTCTTCTCCACTATACATCTTCCATTTGCAGAAGCAACTCTGAATCAATAGCCAGCATTCTGACATCAGCAGACAATCCTCAATTTAATCTTTCCTTTCACAGTTTTTTCTCTACAGTAGCTCAACGTGTTTTGGACATTTATTTCTGTTCTCGGGCCACTCTTCAATTTGTACTGTTGCACCAATTTTACACACTCCTTCTTGTAAAAATCACACATTATAGTGAAGAGAAGCTATTGTGCAGGAGAGTAACCAATCTTAGGCTTTAACGAATTTTCTGTTCAAAAGCCTCAGTGATCAGAAGCATCATCCTTCAAGAAGAGCTTGGTGTTGGTGCATTAGGTGCTGAAACCATTAGGAATAATTGTTATTGAGCTTAATCAAGGAGCAGCTTTTGTAAATGGAATATCTATTTTGTCATCTGAAGCTTTAAGATGACAAGCACTCAAAAGTAGTAAAATCGTTACATGAAAACATCTCGGGGGTAACCTAATCACAGCAAGCTCTTCGTTTACCAGCATTGCTGATGGCACAGAAAACCACCTGAGAGAAGCCTAGTGGGAAAGATAATCGTTTCTGCAATTGATTTTTCTTTTGAGCCACCTTAAGGGGAAGCAGAAATAAATTTCAAAGGATGTTTGATAGATATAACAGGGTTAAGCAACAGCCACCTACTCTTTGCAATTCTTTCTAGTTCATCTACAACAGGGGTCAGCAACCCGCGGCTCTGGAGCCGCATGTGGCTCTTTCATCCATCTGCTGTGGCTCCCTGTTGCTGGTTGGCTCCACAATTGATAGGGCTTCCAGTCAGCAGAGGAAAAAGGATGCCGCACTAGGAGGAGACTAAGATGGGGGAACTGGACTTACGGTTGGCTCCAGAATTGAATGGGGGCTTCCGGTTTTTGTGGCTCTTTGAATGTTTAAGGTTGTCGACTAGAAGACACTAGAAGGAAATGGGATTTTGCAACTTGGCAAAACTGTAGGTGGACTACTAGAGGATCTGTTACATTAGGAAGAAGCTTCTAGGTTTGTGGGAGAATCAATTTTTAGTTAACCTTCCTATTTAGCTTGCTTGACACAAAGTTCAGTGTCTGCCAAGGAAGATGACATTATTTCGAAGGTTGTGGTATCCATTCCGCACCTTTATCAATTTCTAAGCAAATGGCATGCATTACTGAGCTCTGGTGACCCAAGAGGTCGAAGTTCCCCTCTTCCCCTCAGTCCAGGTGGGTTTAGGGTTTGGCATAAGCAAGCTGTAGGGGAAAGGAGGATTGGTGGCAGTTATGTTCAAAAAACTCTTTCGGCCTTCAGGGATCATGCCACTAAGTTTTCAGTAGTGAGATCTTGCTTTTGAAAGTAGCAACCTGAGTGCAGAGGCCATTCCTGATCCAGGAAAGTCTGCCAGGGATGCACAACCTGAAGCTGTGCAAAGGTTCTCTTAGCCACAACTGCCATTTGCTCTTTTGAGCAAGTGTCTAAAAGAACCCCAAAGCTGTGAACTGGGTCCACAGTTGCACTTCTATGAGGGTTCATTCAAAGCCTGTTGTCCCCTGTCCAAGCCGCTAGGCACTAGGAAAGGGCAACAGTAAGTTCACTAGGGATGGAGATACAAAGCTGAGTATCATCAGATGCTATATCATCAAAATATTTTCTGTATGATGATCCATCTCACCCAGCTTCATGTAGATATAAAAAAGGAGTGGAGAGAGCCAAGCCCTATGCCATGCCACTGAACTCTCTTTCCCTATCAACACCAATTGGGACTGGCTTTGGGTAAAGGGGCCAAACTGTGCTGCCCAGCAACAAACCCTATAGCTGACCCCAAAAATATCATGGTTGATGGTATTAAAGGCTGCTGAGAGGCCAAGGAGACTATCATCCTGCCATTGCCATAGATCATCCACAAGTGCGACCAATGCTACTTCTTTCAATTACGCCACCGCCAGTTTGCAGGGTGGTGATGTAAATTGGGACAGCCAATGGAAACCATGAAATGCCCACACACCTGAATTGTGCACAAGCTAAAGCTTCCAGATATCCCTGAGGTTGGCCCATGTAGAGCTCATTGAAGTAGTCCAACCATCAGATGACCAGAGTGTGGTCTGAGCACAGGGACTATCCAGGAAAGGGTAAAACTGCCACACAGCATGAAGTTGTGCAAAGACTCTCCAGGCTATAACTGTACCTGCTCAGCAAGCAATTTGAGAATCTTGAGATCGTGCATCAAGTCAGTCTTGGTCTTACCAGGTTCAGTTTTTTGTCCCCTATCCAGATCTCCACAACCTCCAGGCAAAAAGGATTGGATGTGGACTTAACCTCCCATTCCCTATTAATACTCATTAGGACTGACCTTGGAGAAAGGAATTGAACCCGCATAAGACTGTCCTGTCCAGCTCAAATTCAACAGATGGCCCCAAAGGATGGTATCAAAAGCCACTGAGAAGTCAAGGAGAGCAAGGATGTGTGTCATCTCCAGTTAGAGTCATCCCTCATGTCCCAGGCATTTATAACCTTTTTTAGAACCCATAATTCTCTGGCGCGCTGCTTGGAGAATCCAAGAGCGTGGGTAATTCCCTCAGTCAGGATAAAACACTGAGTGCCTGTTGCTTTAAAAATGTTGTTGACTTCGCCCACGAGGCCTGGCTGAGGCTCAGTTCCTTTCACTCAGTTGGGATAGCTGCAGTGCCTTTTGCTTGCTCCGCAAATCACCTTATTTTATTCTTTTATTTTACCATCCCAGTTCCCTCTCCTTGACCTTTTTTCTAGCTGCTTACTGACTAATTTGTCCGTTCTTCACCTGCGACATCTTTCCCTTTGTCGGGGCGGTGCGGGGCCTGGAGCTTCAGGCTCCCCGCCCCTGAGTGCTCCTTTGACCACAGAGCTCTGCACCCAAAGACCGGCATCTCTGCGATCTCCGCTCCCCTGCCTATTGTTAAGCCGCAGAGCTCTGCCTTCCAATCGGCATCTCTGCGAGCGAAATATTCTTGCCGATCTTGATCTCACTGTTCGGCTGCAGGCGGAGAATACTTTTGGCGGGTCAGCGTGAAGGCCGTTTGACAGTGCTCTCCTCACACCCACTTGCTTGCCGCAGAGCTCTGCCTTGCCATCGGCATCTCTGCGTGCCTGGGTGATTGACTGGGTTGCCGACC